TGTGTATTTTGTTCAATGCTTGTTTACAAATGTTGCAGTTGCACTGAAATACAAAATGCATAAAAACAAAAACGCAAATATGGTCATTGTACTATACCTGGTAGTCAAAATGGAAAATTTTCTAGTGGGATTTTTCAATACTCTTTCCACCCTTTGCACTGACTAATGGCTCATGTGATATTACTTTAACAATCTATATCCCAGAAAGGGGTCCTTCAACTGCACAATTTGAATTGCACCAGTAAAAATATTCAAATGAGTATAAATATGGTGTTGCACTTTAAAATAGAAGGGGACGTGTTTACAAACAAAGTGCTTGCTTCAAATCCATTCCAGATGTTTAGTTATTGTTTTGGGATGTGCCTTATGATACCCACTATAATAGGCATATTCTAATATGCCAGCTTTTCATTTTCAAGAACTTAAGGTATTATATTCTTGTTGGAGAAGTGTGAGAGAATTGATTTATTGCTCAGTGTTTAAAAAAAAGGCTCGTAACTGGCCATAGCTCTAGTCCTAGACCCTCTGGGTAAAGTGGAACTTAATGTAATGAATGATATTAAGTGGTCATTGCTTTGTGCTGGAATCCAATGTTTTTGATAGTCAGAAATGGCTTTATATTAGTTTAATGAACTTTTTTAGATTTGTGTTCCTAGTGAATTATTGTGTTGAAACTCATTGCTCATAAAAAGAACGCATTATTTTTACATGAGGCTTTTAATGAGATTTTTTCGCCTAGCCACTGTGAAATTTATGACTAAAGACTTATGTTAATAATTTGTGGTAATATAACTGTAAATGCTAATTTCTAAGAAGTGTTAAAGTTCCCTTAATCTTATTCTCTTTAACAATTATTCATAACCACTTGGACTGAATTACAAATTCAGTCACAATTCGTTTTTATGTATGCAGAATACATAAAATAATCTTATTAAAGACTTTCATTATCTAATTCTTCTAACTCATAAGTACAGATGTTTGATATGACTTGCTTCGGGGTTTACTGATAGCCTGACGGCTTCAGCTCTACAACTGGTCAGTGTTGAAAATGCAAGATCCAGCTGATGGTGAAACGTGCTGTATATGTGATGCAAAGCAGCACAAATCCATGGGGGCCACAATGTGTTGCACCATCCAGCATCCCTCCTTGATCCACTCATCACTGTTACAAAGACCAGAAGCTTTTATTACCTTGTTAAAGAAGAAACATTCCCTGTTGAACCTGAGATGTAAATATAGCCACCATAAAACAAGCTGAGGGATGATGGTAATACAATGCAAACCCAGTTATAAATCCATTTTAAACTCATGGAGAAACATTGCCTGTCTGCTATCACTGATATACATCATCTGTGGGCTTGCCTATGACAGTCATAGCCCGTGAAGTGACACACCAGAGGTTTGTCTGGTATGAAAATTACTGTGGGGAAATGCT